ATTGCTCACTTGTAATACACAAACTTTGTTCAACAGTTTTAATCGCATAGCCTGTTTTTAACTCAAAGGTTCCCCTTTTGTAAATATCTGTAATGGGTACTTTAGGTATATTCCAATTTTGTATATGTTTTTCTATATTTTCGATAACTATTTCTTCTTTGTTTTTTACCCTTGGAGTATTACTTGTCAAAGGTAACGTCTTATTGGCTAGGTTTCTAATAAAATTTTCCATTTATAGGTTACGGATAATAGCTATAATCAGTTTACTGATTCACTATTGAGAATAGTAGAATCAAGTCTATGTAATGGTCCAATTTATTTTAACTGTTTTCCCAATTTTTCTGTATCTTTAACATACCCAAATCTATTAAAAGTTCTCACGTTAAACTTAAAAACCCAGGGTTTCGACATGAACCCAGGATCTCATAATATAGCATTAATATATCGAATATGCTATAAAGTAATGACTACTCTTAATCCAAATGTAATACAGAGAGATACTAAAGGTGAGACAATCTACTTTCAAACAAACACTGAAAAGTCTAACACTATCATACCTAAAGCAGTCAATTGGTCTCAAATAGAATTACCTAAAAATTGGTCTTTACAGAACGAAAATCAGCAATTCAAAACTCATAAAAATAATACCGTTAAACAAATTATCGAATATCCAAACGAAGAAGTAGAAATACAATTTAATACTAATAGAAATACTAGACTTAGAATCTTAGATGACAATGAAATTAGACCTATTCCAAGGAGAATTATTCCTTTTAGAAATTCTACTTCATCAATTAATGAACCTATAATACAGGGATTATCCAGAACTCAAAGTAATATACAAAGACCTGTATATAAACAAATAGATCATTCCAAATCTAAATCGTCTTTACCCGACCTTGATTTTAATATTATGACTCTACAGAAGGAAGAGAAGGTAAACATAGAATATTTAAAGAATGATTATTTATCTGAAAAAAATACTACCCTAAAAAATTCGTATTTAAAATTTTTTAAGAAAGACTTAATAGATGCATGTCATAAAAAATACAATAAATTTCTAAAAATAAATAGAAAAAATATAGGTTTTTTCGACTGGCTAGTTGCTACCCTTAAGGAAATAGGTTATCAAACACCAGAATCAGAACTAAATCCTGAACTTAACACGTTAGAAAATCAGTATAAAACTTACCTTACTACTGAAGGAAATGAAATACAACATATTCATCCCCCTGAACAAACTCTTGTAATAAAAGGAAAATTATAAACAAAAGCTACACCCTATAAATTAATCCCTGGTGATCATACAAATAAAGTTGAAACTATTCCTCACATAGTAGAACAAAATAATTATACTAACCTATATCTGAAATCTTTTGGCAAGCAGGCCACACGAATAGAAAAACTGATTAGTCAACCCCAAAAAATACAAGAAGAAAAGAAAAAGGCAGTTATGTTCAAACCACCTCCTACTATAAATAAAGATAGATTTGTCTTAAAAGAAGACACTAAAGAATTAATGAATGAACCGATAAAAAGATTATCTCAATTAAATAAAGACCCAAAAGGAAAAACAAAAATAGTATAATCAGAAACCATGGTTCTACAAGAAGAATCAATAAATACTGATAATACTGATATAGAGATATCACATATAGAACAAGCCATTAAAGAAGAAAGTTTAAATATTAATAGGATAGACTATGGAAAAAAATGGAGACCAGTGTCTCAAGCAAGAACGTATCATACTCTCAGCCCACGCCAGTAGATATACAATTCGAAGAAGATTTAATATCTCATACAGTTTTCTACTCAGGACGAACTATAGTAAATTGGAACGTAGATGGAATGTCAGACCACCAGATTTTAGATACATTGAGGCATATGACGATGTATGCCACAGTATGTAAAGTCTCTAGTAGCCACGATCAAGATGTTGCTAAAGCAATTGTCTGCGGATTTACAGGCTGGCTTCGTGGCTGGTGGGATTTTCATATGTTTGAAAATACAAAAAACCAATTATTAAATGCAACTCGACAATGGGTTGTAAAAAATGAACTAAATTACCATATGGCGAAAGCGATGCGGTAAATACACTTATCTATAAATAACCTTACATTTTAGAGGTAACACACTGTTATTAAAGGCTAGATCTGAAGATTTGCTTTTTAATTTGAGATGTCCTGCGCTTTCATATTATAAATGGTATAAAGATGTTCTTTTCTCTAAACTATTATTAAGAGAGGCTTCCAGTGCCGATCACTGGAAAGAAAAATTTATTGCTGGTCTACCATACCTTTTCGCTAAAAAGGTCAAAAATAGGTTAAAAAACAAAAATGGCAGAATGATACCACATTCACAATATACTTTAGGAGAACTTTCTTTAGAAATATGTGCTGAAGGATTATCCCTTTGCACAGATATAAAATTAAAAAGACAATTAGATAAAATACGAATGACTGGAAAGAAAGAACTAGGAGATTTTTGTGAACAATTTGGTTTTAGTATTGTTCCTTCTTCTAGTAAAAAGCACAAGAAAAAAGTATATAAACAATATCCAAAGATAGAACTTCAAAAAATTTCAAAAACATAAAAAAGAAAAACGAAATAAGTTCATACAAAAATTTGCTCCAAAAGAAAAATTTAAAAGAAAACTCCCAGTATGCTATAAATATAGCAAAGTTGGCCATTGCAAAAGCAATTGCCGTGTGAAAAAGAAAATAGATACCCTAATGCTTGATGAAAATATACGAAATCAATTATATGATATAATTCAAGTAGTTGATACTTCTGATAGCTCTTCTGACGACACAGATACTGAAACATTAATAGGAAAAATTGAAGATGAAAACTTGATTTGGTACACTTCTGATTCAAGTAAAGATTTAGATTAAGATATAAAAATGCATGATTGTTTCTGTAATGTACTATC